AGCCTGTTCTTGGGGCCGGTCTTCGTGCAGGCGTTCGTGCTCACCTTCCTCGGCGAGTGGGGCGACCGCAGCCAGATCTCGACCATCGCGCTCGCCGCGGCTCATGTGAGTCATTTTTCCATTCCGCCGTCCTTCTGTGAGCGCGCGCCCGGGCTGACACGGCTTGCTGCGCAGAATGTATATGTAGTCATCCTCGGGACAGTCATCGGACACTCATGTTGTACCGCGCTTGCGGTTGTGGGCGGCCGGTACGTCTCCACGAAGATATCTGTCAAACACGGTACGTGTGGTCCCTGCTTCTGGTACTTGTCGGTCCACTGACAGCGCGTGCAGTAACGCTGGCCGGAAGCGGGTTGTTCTTATTATTCGGAATCATCTATCTCTACGAGGCATTCTTGTCAATAGATGCGGAGACGTCAGACTTCCGTCCTATATCATGACGACTAGCATAATCATAGACTTCGACCATGACTCTGGAGGCATGTGCACTCTGCAAGATACGCCTACAAGCTCTTTGACCGCAAACCGCCACCCACGTGTTAAACGACTTAAAGCCACTACCATGCTGTTCTTGTGGGCGGAAAGTCTTACTCGGGGGGTTTTGCCGCATTAGCGCGAAACTCGACCGTCTGCTTTGTGTACTGTTGATATGAAGAACGCTCAGTGGTGCGTCTGCTTACTTCTCAGAGCCTCAGGGTGTGGTTTCCGTATCTTTCGACTCGTCTGCGGCTGGCGTTAGTACGTCACAACAGTCGTGGCTCGGAGCGCTTTGTCTACCTGCAAGTGGTGCCATGTCCTCTCCAGCTAGCCGTGAGTAATGGAGCGCAATGAGAAAGTACTCGAGGCCGTTACATCTAAACTGCAGACGCACCTGTAAGATTGCGGCGCCTGCACTATGCGCGCCGTGCAACTGAGCATGACTTACCAGATGCAAGTACGGCGCAAAAACAAACTTGAACAATGCGGACGTCCCCCCCGAAGAAGATCGCCATGAGCCCGCTCTCCTTCCTTCCACCAGGAGTTGTTGCGCCCATCCTCACCAGGGGACCAGGCCATTATCTCCGTTGATATCAACGTGCGTGAGGTCCCCGTCCGGAGAAGACACCGCCCTGACTAACGGCCTTTTCCCTCCAGTCCAGCCAGACGTGTCCGGTGCCGATCAGAGTGCTCTGTCATGGCGCGATGAGTATGTCACTTCGTACCCACACCCAACACCCCGCCCGCCGGCGGTGTGAATTTTGCCCCTTGCGGTAGACCCCGTCCAGTGCAGGGTACGAGCACGTGTGGGCTCGCCGGGGATGCCTCGATGCGCGAATCGAATGCTGAGGGTAGCGCGGGAGGCTTACACGAGGCGGTACGCCTTGTTGGGCGGTGCATTGCCCCTGCCATTTTTGTGCGAGTCGACCGGTTGTGGCCATCGGGTCTTTGTGGTCTACATTGACCACTGTACCCGTTCAGCGACGTCTTCGCACATTTCGCGTCCAGTCCATAGCTCACCAAAACTTCCGGGAAAGTCTTTGGCTTGGCGCGCTGCCTTAGGTAGCCAATCGGTCTGCGTATGGTCGTAAAAACGCCCAAAGCGATCACGGAGTGGAAGATGAGGGCACGGTGCGTCGCCGAGTACGTTCGAGGTGCATTTTAAACAACTGATACTTAACAGAACGCAGCCCCATGGGCCTTCCACAATTACGAGGCCGGCTTGCGACGTAATCTGCGCCTGTGCCAACCATCAGCCAGAACGACTACCGCACGCATCCATCGTACCTTGTAACATGTTCTTTGCCAGCACATGACGGGCGTTCTTTCATAATCGTATTCAAGACGTACCTGGAGACGTATCGACGTACTCTGCCTTCCATTAGAACCCTGATCTGGTCGAACATGGCGACAGTGCGCAGGCGCTTAATCGCTAGATGCGTCCCTCATTGACGAGCCGGTTCATCGGCAGCGCAGCACGTTCGAAATGAGTGTGGGTATGCTCGAAGTCCTGTCCAGCGACGCTCAGCGCAGTCCGATCGGTGTGGGGGGCCTTCGCGGGCCTTGACAACCTGTCGCTATGACCTCGGAAGAGACCGACTATCGAAGCTCCAGGTCTTCGACGCCGTCGAGGGACAAGGAGCACCATGGCAATGGGCAAATGGACTTACAAGACTCGAGCATATTCACAGTCAAGAACTTACGTAGTCGTCGGGCCGGGCCGTCGGCTCGACCTTGAGCAATACTCGTAGTCCTTCATTGAAGTCGGTGTTGCGAAGACACCGCTGTATCCGGTGGATAGTGAGCTTCTGCGCTGTCCCTGACGACGTTCTGCCCTGACCTAGACACAAGTAGTCAGCGACGGACGAAATGACGTACTGACCTTGATGAGAGTATTTATGCAGACCGCTCGTTATCAACGTGGCTTACCCACCTATCCTTGATATATCCTAACACTCACCTGGATCGGACAGTACTCGCTTTGTCAGCCAGCAGCACCCCAAGGTGGCGCCATAGTCAGCGACGGTCAAGTCGTAGCGGGGTGGATGAGGTCTCAGACTGCAAGAGCCTTTGTTAGAGTGCAGTTTTATCTGAAGCGGTACCGTATCTCGCTCCACCCCTCTGGCCCCACTCATATCTGAAATTCTTCAGCCTCGCTATATCCCCGGTCTGCGACGATCCGCAAACTCTCCATTGTCGGATGTCCTATCTAGGATCTTGCTTAACGAGAGTGTGTGGACATTTCCTTACCTGGACCATTTCTGACTAAATGGTCCGATCAGTTTGCGCTTGTTACATGGGTCCGCTCGCCTGGCGATTCAGTGAGCGTACGTGAGCGTTCCACTACCTGATGTGGGAAGGTCTGATAAATTCATCAGAACACGTTTGTCTAAACAATTGCATGGTCTTAGTCTTGATCAGCACATCGAGCTGGAAATACGACGAGTTAGCACCGCTGCATGGCTGATATATAGGCGCAGATGTTACGCGATGCTAATCCGTTCAAAGAATGAATGGAGACGTCAGTCGGTGGGAACGACTTCAGCAAGAAACGCAGAGGTTCTGCCAGCTTTTTTCCGGCCGGTTTGGCTCGTGTAGTAACGGGATACGACTTGCTAACACAGTTACCGCCACTAGATCGCTGCCCTGGCGCTGCGAAAACGTCTAGACAATATGAGACGCCGCAACCTTGTATTTTTGTATCACGTGATCCAGCATTAGTGGTTGCAGTTCGTGCAGCGCTTCGGATACGGCCCGATCGCACGGTTGATGACCTGAAACAGCTCGTAAACATCGCGACTCCAGTGCGCAGGAGGTGAGGCTGATTATCTGTCTCAGGATCAGGGCCATCTGCGTCCCGTGTAAAGCGCAAGCAGATATTCGTGTCGAAATCGGTGAGTTACCACGAAATTGCTCCGGTGCAGGTGCTCATATATCTTCACGGGGAGCAGCCATATAATAGACTATGGCGCTCGACTTCCCCGTCGAAGACACGGCGAATTGTCAGGATTGGTGCGTATAATTGCCGGAATGATTCGGGTAACTCTATTAGTCTGATTTGTGTGATGGGCAAGATGCTTCGGCATGCGCCCCTTGCGACTCGCATATCGCCTTCGAGTCGTGCGTCCGCCAAAGCGACTCGAAAGTCTTGTTGCGATCTGACATGTGGACAAATCACGTTGCTACGACGCCGTCGATGTGGAGACATTTCCCCCTGCTCTTGCCTCGGGGATTCGCACAGAAGCTAGCGACTGGAGCGGAATCAGCCTGCATCAACTCTCCACATGTACCTTATCTCGGCGTCCTGCGGCTGTCTCATGGTAGAAACCAAGCATCGGCACATCCCTCATATGCATGACGACAGGCGGATATACCGAGGACGGGGAACCAGAATCTATGGCTTGCGTGCTCGTCCCAAATGGTAGGTTCCGTGACCCCGATTGTCTGATGTCTTCATGTTTCTCCCGCGAATGGGTCTCTCGGGCATGTGTTCTGCTTCTCAGGCTCAATTTTGCGCGGCGGTTCCCGCTGTCAACGAGACCTGTGTCAAAAAACGCACAAAGGTGGGCACGTAGCGGCTATCTCTGGCGAATCTGGCCGGCTTACAGGTCCCGCTCTCAGCTATCTCGACATCTATATCGGCACACGGATGCTTTCATGATCTAGGGCTATTCTCGTGTGGTAAAGACATGCCTAGCGCTGGTTCCAGGTGTGGAGAGTTATATCCTGCTCCGTGGCTCCCATGGGATTTTCGGGAAACTAGTAGCCCAACTCGTGGATATGACAAACGATCGACACGCTCGGGGCACGGCGTGTTCCTCTCTGTGGAGCTAAAGCGAGCCTCTTCATTCTTCCAGTCGTTGGGTGATGTTTGTGCCAAGGATCTTACTGTCGCCGAGCTCAGATGATCTTCGCGGACAGATTGGCCCGGCACGATTAATGTTTGTGGTCACCTGAATCCCGCATGGGAGTTCTACCGAATCGAATGTTGCCGCAAGCTCTATCATTGGATCGCGATCTCGGAGCGTATGGACGAGTCCGATGCTGTGTCTTGTAGCATATGTGCCCTTGTGCGGCATGTAGGCCACTGTTTGCCTTCTCACGCACCCCAAGGTGCGATCGATGGCATCCTACGGGGAAACCATTGCCGTTGATCGGTACGGCTAACCATATCTTCCGTGGTCCACAGCTCACTTAGTACGTACGATCCCTACCGCTCCTAAACTCAATTCTACCTCTTCAGATATGTAGAAATTCGATTATTGCAGCTGTTGTGCACGCGCAATCAAAGCCCGTCCATGATACACAAACAGAAAGCCGCGATTCAAGTATTGCCATTTCGTGTCCATGATTCTACGGGATGTCTGATTTTCGTACAAATAAAAATATTTGATTAGAGCTCAAGGCAGTCAGTCCAATCCGTCGATGCGAGCTAAAAATATTGTTTGACTGTGTGACGCGTAGATAACATGGTACTTTTGCAATCGAATGCTATAGTGGGCGCCAAACGAAGTACAAAAAAGCTCCCCGGCCGAGAGTCGAACTCGGCTCTTGCGCGGCCTGTAAAGTGACAGGCGCATGTACTAACCGATATACTACCGGGGACTTATCAGGCGTTTAATCCGTAACGTTGGTAATCAAAGGTAATCAGTGTAATGTGTACTTGCTCGATTATGTCAAAGGCCCATGCAGCAACTGAGACAACCGGTCAGACATGTATAGAATTCTAGTTTCTCTGTATTATACGATGGGTACGGCCTCGCATAGGGTTGCTTACCCAAGATGTAATATGAGACAGCATAACGGAGGGATTTGCGTCCTAACTAATGTCATTAGTCGGTGTTGACCGTTGACGATGTCATTTCCCACACACTCCCCACTTCTCCATGCAACCTCTAGTATTCGGTGAGAATTTGTAGAACGGTGAGGTGACTGATCTCTCACCACCGTGTCTATCGCGAAAGAAGCTAGCGCCTCGAGGACTGCTTTGCCACTCCATGCCTCCACTTCGGCGACCTGTTGAGGAGTGATAAAAGCTTCCGAGACGCGTGATGCGAACACCATCTGGGCGGCAGCGGCACGGATCTTGGGTCTGGGCTGCAGCTCATGCCCATCCGGGCCTGAGACAGAAACATTCGGTGGCTCACTCTGCGTGGAGGGGATGTGGGAGGGGGAAATTGAAGGGTGGACCGGGAGAGCGCTTAGAGGGGGTTGCACCCTCCCGCTTGGATGTGCAGATGTGCGCCAACTGGTCGCAAGGTGCAAGATATGGAATGTTTCCATCTACACGCGGCAGCAGAAGTCGGTCAATCTCTGGAGTAGATGGCCCAGTCTCCCTGCGCACCTCAAACGTGGCCAACGCCGGATGTGTGGCTAACAACTGAGGTATGAGATTCTCATTGTGATCTGGAAAAGACGTATGTCGTCCTTGCGAGGAGTAGAAGCTGTCGTAGAGACGTTAAGCCAGTGATGTGATACTGACAAGCCTATAGGATAATCTGTACCTATCGGTGGACGCATTCAGAGTTTGATGCAAGATCGGAAACTGAATTCCTTCCGGTCGGGTCTTCTCAAGGGCGTCTTTGACCTATCCGAGATCGTCAGCGCCGTTGATGGGGCGTAGTTGTCCGTCTGCCGCTCACCGCCGCATGTAGTTCGGGGTCAGTAGAGACCTGTACGTGAGATTGCGTAAATCTCTGCTTAGACGATAGCAGTCCCAACCTCACCGGTTTGCTGACTCTGTACGGGACATCATCCGACATGCTGGTAGTGAAGTCAAAGTCGTAGTTCCTGGTCACGGAGAGGCTGGCTTCGGGCACCACTACCGTGCCAACGGGAACGTCTACAAGCGCACCGCAAGACCCCAATCTTCGGAGCGGGCAGGGAAAGTCAGCAATTGGGAATCAGGCTTGACAGTGCCACAGAGACCTTATGACTACCATGTCTCCATTCAGACATTCTCTGACCTCGCGCATGAAGAAGTCCGCATTTGGACCACCCATGCCAATACTAACAATGGAAACAGGAACTCCCTTGTACCTTCCGGTGATGGTTGTGAAACCGCGCTCCGAGGTCAATACAAAGCACCTCGGGACCGCATCTAGATATGCCGCGATACCATGTGCGCGAGATGGTGACCCCACCGTCACCTACAAAGCATAAACTCCAGCCCGTAGAGTATATGGACCAGACTCACAATACGATTGGCGACCTCGCCAGCGCGAAGTCCCAGATGATAAACACGATGGTCTATTGTGCGAGGGAAGTCTGAGGCGTATACGAAGGAATCAGAAGCATGTGTGCCATAACGCCTCGAGACAGCTTACTAGCACTGAGTATTACGTCCTTCATTGTCCCAAGAAGCAATGATGTTAAAATCTATAGCTTATATGAGTGTATTGGTATATTGTCCGGAAGTGCGCCTGCGGGCATGTCGCGGATCTCGATGATCGAGCGGTTACTGGCCACGTGGCATTGGATAGTTGGGTTCGTTGCGGCCGCCGGGTGCTGGTTTTCGTCTGTCATGACCCTCCCGACGCCTCACTCACGAGTCGCACTCCGAAATCGAGGGACGCTCGGGAGACCAACTGCGTTGTGCTGGAGGATCTCTTAACAAAAATCTCGGACGGACCGATCCCACGATACAAAATGTGACTTCTCCCTTCCAACGCTGAAGCCTCGAAATCCGTTCCGGCTGTGTACCGCCAGGACCACGCATGGGGCCAGCAGAAGTACGTTTATTTGGTACCTCCAACAAGAAGCAAACTCTTGTTGCTGCTCATCAGAAGTTCGAATCTTCCCGGTGCTCAATAAGGTCTTCACAGGTCATTTGCCCAGACAGCCGTATCGTTCGGCATCTTCGTTCCTAGCACATGTCTATCCGTCGAGAACCTTGTCTCCACATTCTTCCATGTATTTGAATAAGATCCTCGGCTTCAGACAACCGTTTAGATCACGCATCCAACTGGAACGCCAGAACGTAATGCAAGCTTGTCTCGGTATGTTGCGCACGCGATTGACCGTGCCTCGGGAGCTGAACTTTCAACATTCGTGTACTCCAGAGCACCCATTTCTCTTGACGTATCATCTGACACAGCTTCCTTTTCTCAGCAGTGTGAAAAGGAAGGACTTAGTGCATATCTCGCGCGAGGGTGTGGGTCCTCACTCTGGAGATCTGCTCCGACCCAAATAGACCCGTATACCAGCTCGTACCACGTCGCGCAGGAATATCGGGTCGGTATACTCCCACACCCTTTTGGCACGTTCCTGCCTGATCAAACACAACCATCAAGCAACGGCGTGCATGTCCGCTCCACCCTCGTCCCAAACCAAATTCGGTAGATAACACCCGTGTTGGACCAGAACTACGCTGAAACTCATTCCACACTTAGTTTGATGACTGTTTGCACACAGCCGTGAAATGGCCCGGGTCGATACTTTGGTTGCCCCCAGGTCCTGACAGCACCCCCGGTCGCATCTTGGGCGCAAATAGGGATCATTTCTTCTTCTGGTACTTTTGTCGTTGACGCGCATGAGGTCCTCCGGAGGACTGTCGTTGCGTACTTTGCCCACAAGATGGAACGCTCGCCGCCTCGGGATGTCGGCCTTGCGCATCGTTTGGCGCTCACTTCAGCCAAATCGCAATGACAACGGGTCTGAAAATCTCATGGTATTGTTCTGCTGTGTTTTTGTCCGCCTGTTCCGTGCGGACAATCGCATTACGTCTGAGCGCAATTCCCCATGTCAAATGAGACGTCTCTCACCTTTGAGGGCCTCCCGGCGAGTCGCCTGCCAGTACTCCCGAATATGGAACAAAGGAATATTGCATGCGACTCTACTTTTAGCTGTCTCGTTAAAGGGCCATAAGCTCACCCGGGACTTTCTATCCAGAAAACCCTTTGGACAATGCGTGTGGTGCGTGCTGACTATGTCTCATCTTCGTGCGCCTCAAAGAATCTCAGGCCTTACCTCGTCACTCCCATTGACGTTATATGTCCGTAGGAGACATGGCGCTGATCTATGTCAGCCAGAGGCCAGTGCCGTGACTTCGTCATAGATAAGCAGACGCCTTTTCACAATCTTTCAAGGCACCTCTTTACGAGGCGAACACGATGTCGTGTGTACTGCCTCTTGTGTCTGTCTGAGAGTCAAGCCAGTACCCACGTATGGTTATCATGACATCAGCCATGCATGCGAGACTCAGCGGCGGGCGTGTGCGACCCCAATGTAGGCGTCATTCTTTCATGTCGAGACCCGGGCGACAACAGACCGCATGACTTTTCAGGCTGCGACAGCCACGAGGTACCTCTCACCGGGTCCGCTGTCCACCTGAGACTGGACAGATGATACACGCCCAAGGTAGCTTATTACGCGGCTAGCCGTGTCACATGCTATACGCTTCGATCCCCTCAGGTGTACGGGGCAAAGCAGCGTGCTTACCTGTTCAGACGCACGCAGAAATGGCGCACGAGATTGTTGCAATGACGGCCCCAACACCACCTGAGCTTGCTGTCACCGGAGGTCGAGGCCGTGCCGACGGAGACAAACGGATTTTCGTTTGCCGAACCTCGGGGTCCGAAGAAGTCGACATGCTTCTGCCAAGCCTGATACTGCCAGCTCGCGCCAGCCGACTAACGTTGGCTTTCCAACTCGGACGGCGCAAGTCACTTCTGCGGACTTTGGTCATCTGACAGAGGCGTCTTTTAAGTTCTATGATGTATCGGGCACATTGTGTATTTGTCCGATATGTCGGCATGCCCAGCCGCTGACACCTCGTAGGCCTCCTCGTAGTGGAGCATACCGGCGGGGTATTGCTCGCTGGTACGTGAATTCAAGATCGCTTTGTTGGAAGAGCTCACTCGATCTCGCCATTTTGATCGCGAGTTTATGATGGCGGCGCCGCGCGGTTAAAGAAGCATTTCAGCATCCCGCCATTTCTCTCTCATGTCTCGATAATAAACCTAATACATCTCGGTGACACATACAGGCATGAACCATGATCTCGAGGCGTTCGCGACGTGAAGTGTTGAGACCTCCACGCAATCAAGCGCTGCCATCTGCGTGCCGGGGTCAAGCTCTCATATGTCGAGATAAACATAGTGATCTAGGGTCTTATGCCTAGCGGTGCTGCGCGACAGATGACTGACGCCCTGATCATGTACTAAAGTTCAGCATACGATGCCATTTTGATAAGTATTTCGGCTCGATACGGAGGCTGCTAGCCGTATGCCAGGAATTCAAGGCGGTCGAGGAGAGAGGACCACGTGGCGTACCGCCGGCATCACTGCGCAAGCGGAGGGCTGTCAGTACGTTAGTCATACTTGTAAAACAAGCCTCGAAAACTCCCTCGGCCCAGATCACAACTTCGGTATGCCATCTATGGCGGTTTGCGTGCGCTAGGGAGTCGGACTTGCTAAGCGGGGGGAGTTCGGCATCATGCAGGAGAAGTTCAGGATCATTCTGGATCACAAGGCGAACGATACCGATCGCAATTGGTTGCGCATTCCTGTTGCATTGTTCTCAGCACCCGGAGCTTGCTGGAATTCGGTGTGCAAAATTACCTGTAACTCTTATTCACGTTTCCTTGAACCCACGAACCACAAGAA